TTTTTTTTTTTTTTTTTTTTTTTTAATCAATTATATTTTTATCGTCAAATTCTTTACTCCAAACAAAATATACTATACATTGCATATTCTACACAGGCAATTTCTTTTTTTTTTTTTAAATGTATACACATAATATAATAATAATAATATAATAATAATAATAATAATAATAATAATAATAATAATGGCTCAGCCTCTAAGCATAATTGCACGTAAACCAGCCCGGATTACAATATACGTAGAGACGAGGAAGATCAAAAGTTTATAATTAAGGTGATTTTCGGTTAGACTTTTGATCAGCCTTGTACTATATATTATTATAATATATATATATATATAATATAATATAATATAATGTATAACAAAACGTTTCGAGAACAGCTAATCCAACACTACGCATTGTTCAACAATTTTTATTATCATTAGTTTTTTTTTTTTTTTTTTTTTTTTTTATTTTTTTTTTTTTTCTTTTATCGTAATTATATTCTTACAAATTGGTTTCAATTGAAGTATAATGTTTCGGGGTGACATTTTTTCTTTATCTTTTCGTTATTGTTTTTAGCATTTATACTTTTCCCGACAACCGAATCATTAATCTAAAGTTTTCAAAAAATTCGCATATATTATATTAATAACTAATAAAACTATCAATAACAATAACAGCTATACATTTTTAAAATTTTTAATAATGAGGTTCACGCGTATTCATTACACGAAATTTCTTTATTATTATTATTTAATTGATTTCTTTTATACAGGGACATTGACGCAATGAGTGGTTATTAAATTAATTTTATTGTAAATATTTTTTTTTTTAAATATTTTAGTAGTAAGTGTGTCGTTCGATCCATCCACCCGGATGAGTCCTGAGCCAAAAACGCCGACATTCGTCATAAATAAATATGACTACGGCGAAAGGTAAAGCGGGCAGCCACCATTCGGCTTTTACAGGGTAGGTCTTGAGCACCTCGGTCATACCCGGGCAATAGGACACGAAACAGGCAGCTAAAGTTTCGAAAACCATTCCGAAATTCAAAACCCAATTGTCCATGCCTTGGTGCAAAATGGAATTGTATCGAGTTTTGCAAATAATCAGATCCGCCCATTGAACTACAACAATAGCTATAAAGAAGGCAGTGTGGCAAGTATATTCAAGCTCTTTTCTATGCGTAAACGTCCATTCTTGACCGTACGAGTCCTCTAAATCGTTCACGGACTTCGAATCCCATTCGTTACGTATTCCGAGTAATCTCTGCGGTAACCATCCGCACTGAGCCATGATGACGAAGTACGAGAAAAATCCGGCGACCGCTTCTATTACACCGATTTGTCCATAAGCGACGAATATGAGTTTACCGTTCACCAATTTGTCGTTGACCGGATTCCTAGGGTGTCTCAACATGATATCAGATTCCGCCCTCTCGTACGCCAAAGATATAGCGGGCCACATATCAGTTCCCAGATCAATACACAGAACGGCGACAACACCGAGAGGTAACGGAATTCCACTAACGATAAACAGCAAAAACGGAGTTATTTCGGGCACGTTGGACGCCAAAGTGTAGGCAATAGATTTCTTCAAATTGTCAAATATAAGACGCCCTTCTTCTACACCGGTCACGATAGATGCGAAATTGTCGTCCAACAATATCATGTCGGCCGTCTGCTTAGATACATCCGAACCTGTGATACCCATGGCAATACCGATATCCGCTTTTTTCAAAGCCGGTGAATCGTTCACACCGTCACCAGTTACAGCCACTATGGCACCCAAATTTTGACAGCCTTCAACGATGTTTAACTTTTGTGTAGGTGATGTTCGCGCGAATACGATTTCTCTATTTGTTCTCAAAACGTGTTCTAATTCTTCGGTTGTCATGTCTCGCAATACCGATCCTTGAATTACAATCGTCGTAGACTCCCGCGGATCTAAAGATGATACCGGTACCCGACGTCTTTTAGCGATATCTTCGAGAGTTTCAGAACCTTCGGTTATTATACCCACAGCTTTCGCAATAGCTTTAGCGGTTACCGGATGATCGCCAGTTACCATAATAACACGAATACCAGCTGAACGGCATTTAGCGACGGCATCTGGTACACCCGGTCTTGGTGGATCGATCATGGACATTAGCCCTAAAAATCTTAAATCGGTCAATGGGAAATTAGGCGGATCCGTAGTAAAGTTAAAGCCAATCGGGAATTCTTCCGTACTCAAAAAGAGATCACAAAATCCTAGCACTCGTTCACCGTAACTTCCGAGTTGCTCAATAATTTCGTCCATTTCTTGTCTGATATTTTCGTCCAACTCAACAACACCGTCACCATAACGCATCCTAGTACAGCGAGCCAAAATCCTTTCGGGTGCCCCTTTCATAACTAACAATTGTCCTTTAGACGGTAACGCGTGAATGGAAACTTGGAATTTATCGGAAGAATTGAATGGAATCTCGGCTACTTTTTTATGTTGATCACGGAAGGCCATAACATCTCCGACAGCAAGTTCAGAAAACTTGATTATAGCCGCTTCAGACGCATCACCCATAACTTCTCTTTTTAATACCGGTGTATTGTCTTGTCCGCATATAAATTCGGCTCTACTGCAAAGACATCCAGCCCTAACAAGAGATTGATAAGCTTTGGTATTTCTAGCTTCTTCGGTTACACCGGTAGGGTCTTTGAAATAGTCCACTTCGATAATTTCCTTATTATAACTTAAATGAGTGACCGTCATACGATTTTGCGTCAGAGTTCCGGTTTTATCAGAACAGATGGTAGATGTAGATCCAAGAGTTTCGACCGCTTCGAGATGTTTTACAACACAATTTTTCGAAGCCATTCGTTTCGCTGTTAACGACAAACACACAGTGACAGTAGCGAGAAGACCTTCTGGTACGTTGGCAACAATAATTCCAATCAAAAATATAAAAGCATCCAACCAATGGTATCCAAGTAAGAACGCCATTATGAAAAACGAGACTCCTAAGAAAATAGCCCAAGCGGAAATCAAATGCATAAAATGATGGATTTCGTTTGCAATCGGCGTATCTCTTTGTTCCAGCCTTGTAGTCAATCCAGCAATACGTCCCATTACCGTGTTATCACCGCAAAGTATCACGACGGCTTTTGCAGTTCCTTCGACCGCATTGGTGGAAAAAAAGGCCAAATTGGTCGCTTCCAATACAGTGACTTTAGACACGGCCGAATCCCTAGGCTGTGGTTCAGTTTCTCCAGTCAAAGACGAATTGTCTACCTTGAAGTTATGGCTCTCGATAATACGAACGTCGGCAGGAACACGATCGCCAAACTTTACCTCCACAATATCACCTCTTACCAGTTCCGAGCTCAGTATATTTTTCCGTTCACCGTCTCTCACAACGTTAGCATATTGTGGTACCATATTCTTGAACGAATCCATTATTCTGGAGCTTTTCGCTTCTTGACTGTAAGCAAAAACACCCGTTATTACACACACGAGTACCAAGACCGTTCCCAACCATAGATTGTCTTCTTGCGGTTCTTCGGATGTGGAATATTGAATACCATACGCTAGGAAACACAGGGACGCGCCTGCCCATAACAGGATGGAAAATCCTTCGAACAGGTGCTTCAACAGGATAATCCACGCGGGAGTCCTTTTAGGTGGTGTTAGAGCGTTAGGGCCGTCCCTAAGCAACAATCTTTTCGCTTGAGAGGTGGACAAACCTCTCTCGGGGTCCGTCTCGTAACGAGCGTATACATCTGGCAAAGGTATTCGGTGATCGTCCAAGTCGATTTCCTTTTTGAGATCGCTCATTTTGGCGCCTTTGCTGCCACCATTTTCCTCTTTGGAACCCATTTTGGACAGAATATAAGGGACTTTTAGTTGTAAAAATACAATTAAAAACTGTTTATGATTTCAAAAATACTTGTAGGAATTCATGGTTATAATTATTATTATTATTATTTTTACAAAATATATAAATACACTAACTAATTGGAATAACGAATTTACGTCAACAACTTATAATACTACTTATAACGATCTTTTCATTTGATTACAGATAGGCGATTCGATCTCTATTCTGTGATCGAGGAAATCAAATATGACTAAGTGGTTCATTTTTTCAAAATAATTAATAATATCACAGACTTAGAATAAAGTGTGACTCCGATATTCCGAAGTGTGTATGTGTGTGTGCTGTCGTTATTCTGGACCAGCGTGGATCAAGACGTCTTGTCCCGCATGATGATTTTCTGCCCGAAAAAAAACAAAAACAAAAACAAAAACAAAAATAAAATAAAGTAGCAATATATGTTTAAGCTCAATGAATACAGTAAATTGATTGATGGAAATTTATACTATTGCTAACGTCGGGAAGGCATTCTACTTTTTTCCCCTAATTTATATTTAAATACCCTTGACGACAATCCAGAAACGCGCTATACGCGTACGACCGTCGTGCCAAATTATTTTTCTACAATATGGTTTTCGTTCGAAGGTTTATCGTATGTTTTTTTTTTTTTTTTTGAAACCGCTAAATTGCGTTACCGTTGAATGGCCATCTATAGGCGTCTATAATACCTGTACGTTTCTTGCGAATGCATTACCAACAGTAAAAAAAAAACCGTAAAACATATTAACTACTAAAAAACTTATATTTTTTTAACTCGTTTCAATTGAGAACGTTAGCGGTGAATCAAACACACACGGTATCCCCGTGTCAAACGCGAGACTTTGTACATTTTCAAACGATTAGCAGCTGTCGCGGTTTTATTCGTCCGTCTGCGCACGAGTGTTTATTAATCGTTTACGATATTGCGATTCGAAAACCGTTCGGCCGGTTTTTGTGGAGCTCGTAGCGCCGGACGCGAGGTTTTCTCGACGTCGGCGGCTTTTTTTTTTTTCTTATCGGGAAGTGCGGGTAGTGCGGAAACGTTTGTTTCGGCGGAGCAGTGCGAACGTCAAGCGCCGGGAGGGAACGTCGCGATTGCCGCGGTCGCGGTGTCGGAAGGCCGGAATACCGCGACCGTTTGAACGCGTACGCTACAGCGTTGCGGGCACTGTGGACATTATCGTACGGAGGTCCGTGAATTGCCGGCGAAAACCGAAAAACGTGTTTCGGGTCCGTTGGGTATCCGGTAAAATGTTTTCGACCAGCGCGCGAGACGAGAGTAAGTCCCGGGCGGTCGGGGGGCGGTAATCGAATGGACGCCGGCGGTACCGCGGAAATGCCGCGGCCCAAAGTAACATATGTAACGCTTTCAACGCGGTTCAGAAAAGAAAAAAAAAGACCGCGCGGATACTTTGCCGGGGCGAAAAGGCCACGTAGATTTCCGTCCCACCTCTCCTCCCCACCCGCCTGCCACGCCGTTAGTTTGACGGGCCGTACGGGTATCACCGCTATGGACGAGCATATATTTGGTATCTGCGCGCGGTGGCGCAACGAACCCGCGTTTGTTTCGCGCCCCGGTTCGCGGAGAGGCGAGCGTGCGGGCGGGAGGGTTTTTCTTTTCGGTTTTTTCGGTTTTTTTTTTTTGAGGGGGGAGGGAGAAATGCGTACGTTTCCGGGTTTCGGTGTCGCGGCGTCGCATACGATAAAGGAACACCGCGCCCGTGCGTCGTCGGTGCATCGGTGTTCGCAACGGCGCGAACCGGATCACGCGACAGGGTTCGACGGAGACGACGCCGCGGGTCTCGCGCGGTCGGCCTCTACCGGTCGCGCCGCGACGCGACGGCGACGAGCGCGACCGGAATAGCGGCCGCGGCGACCGGACGACCCTGACCCCGCGGTAATGCGTTTAACAGCGCGCCGTCGGCGGCGGGCCACGGGGGTTAAATCGAATCACGGCGCGCGCGGCCCGGCGGCACGCGCGCGCTCGAAATTCGCTCTGTACGGCCGGCGCGAAAATCTACGCGAAAATTAAAGAATAAAAAAACCCCAAAAAAAAAACAATATAAAATAATAACGACGGCAGTCGGTTGGCGCGGGATTTCCGCGGACCGCCGTCGCCGGTGTCCGCGCGGTAAACGCCGTTCGGACGGAACGCGGTGGATTTCGAGACGAAAACTCGCGTCGCGTAATCGACCGTCTGGAAATGTCATCGTTACTGTTTATTGTTATTATTGTCATCATCATCAGTACTGTTATTATTGTTATTATTATCGCACGCGTACGCGTTAACTATTTTAGGTTAAGACGAATAGTTGGCTCGGCCGCAGTGCGGACCTTCTGTACACGCGCGCCGCGTTCACCCCGCCGCGCCCGACCGGCCGGCCGTCCGCCCGCCCGCGAGCGTGCCGCGTCCCTCCGGCCCGCAGGGTTCCCCGCCGTCGCGCCGGGTCCCGCGGTTCGCCTATACCGTCGCGACCTATTTCGCCACCCGGCACTAGCCGTCCGTTCGCGCGCCGCCGCTACCGTTCGATATAATAACATAATATCGTATCGTAGCGAAACGGTCTTTTTTTTCTTTTTCTTTTTTTTTTTTTTTTTTCCGCCTAACCCGACCGTTTCTCGACTTTTTTTTTTGTTCGTACCGTCACCGTTATTATTCATTTACCGAACAACGGTCTCTACGAAACACCGAAACGATGACCGTTTCCCGTCCGTTCCCGGCCGCAGGAAAACACGTCGAATTTTGAGATTACGTAAAAAAAAAAAAAAAAAAAAAATAAAAAAAAAAACGAATTACGCGTATAAACACAAATATTACGTGACTAATATCATAAACGTACAGTAGTACAGTAAATATAAATAAAACTATAAAACAGTTTTACGCAATACGGTCGTAGGTATATTATTACGAAAAAGTGTTACGGAGAAAAAATGATCTAATAACATATAAACAGACGTATAATACGTGTAGTGGTTATTGGTTTGGGTACTCACCGAGTTTGGTATCCGAATCACTGGCGTATTGTTTGTTTTTTTTTTTCGTATTATCACGACGACGACTCGCGGGTTTCGATCTCCGACGACCGATGTGTGTCACACTTAAAATATGGTTGCAATTTGTCAACAGTCGAAAATGTACATTATATTACTTTAGACACTTTAAAAAAAAAAAAAAATACCGCGATCGGATAATTACAAACTGGGAGTTTCGGGGAACCGGTAGGGATGAAGGCGGACAGAAAAATTCGAAAGGAGACGGATGGCAGAAGGATAATAAAAACGGGGGAAAAAGGAAAAAGAAAAACCGTCTGGTGGTCCTAAAATAAAGACAGAAAAATCTGTCCGGTGCGTTAGAGCGGTTACAATAACGCGGGTCCCGCGGCTCACGGCGGCAGCAGCTGAACTCCTCTCGGGCGGCAATTCGGGCCGGCGGCCGTGGCGGCGACGGCGGCGGCGCGGGCTCGTCCCGTGTAAAGTTCTATTCTGGGACGCGCGTGCGCGGCCGCCAAGGCAGCGCGCGCGGCCCGGAGCAGGGCGGCCGGAAGGGACTCGGCGTGACGGCGCGGCGGTATAGCGGTGGCGGCGGCGGCGGTGGCGGCGGCGGCGGTCCTATGGATCCGTCGGACGTCCAGGCGCCAGGCGCGGTTGCCGTTCCGCGCGCGTACCCTCGCCGCCCGACGCCCCCACCGGCGACTAACCCGTTCGCCCGCATACCACCTACCCGCCCCGATCGTCCCGCCACGGTTACGCCCCATCTCGCACGCGCACGCACGCGCATACACAGTCACACACACACACACACACACAGACATACACGCGCGCGCGCGCACACACAGACGCGCACACACGCGCGCGCGCGCGCGCGTACATATACAGTTATAGTTCGCCGGATGGAGAAAAAAGGGGGAGGGGAAAAAAAAAAGGACTCCCGACGTTTTACCGGAGGTATTTCACACGCCGCCGTCGCCGCGCGTACGTACGCCACCTGCACCACCGTCGCGTACGACGGCGGCGGTCCTCGGCGGTTATTCGATACATTATTATTATTTCTTTTTTTTTTTTTCTTTTCCTCGTACCGTGAACGCGACCGAAATTCTATAAAACACCCGACGACATTGTAATGTTCTGTCGGACGCGGTTTTCCGTCGTAGCGTGCAGCTCTCTATGCGATACGTACACCGCCACCGCGTTCGGAGACGGCGGCGGCGGCTGCGGCTGCGGCGACGGTGCCGGCGGCAGACGGACCGACCTCGTTCCGGCCGGAGAGGAAACACACGCGCGCACCTAACCTACAAAAACCGCCGGCGTGTACCCCCTGCCCGCGCCCGCGTAGCGCGCCGCCCGTCACCGGGGCCCGTGACTAATGTTCTGCCACTGCACCGGGCGGATGGCCCGTCGTGTTCGCGACACCGCCGCCGAGAGCACGAATACGCCGAGCGAGCCGGGAACCCGGCCGTTCGGGACGATACGCATATACGTTACGCATGTCCGTGCATTGTACGTATACGGTAATTATGTAGTTATTAGGGCGGCCCGCCCCTATTCCCGCGATGTCGGCGAGGGCCCCCGACACACAAAAGACGAACCGAACGCGTGTACGTGTCCGATTGCCGATTGTCGTTATTGACACGTAACACGCGCGCCTCGACTAAAACGTAATGTTTCGTTTTGTCCCGCCGCAGAACGGTCACATCCCCCTTCCCCCGACACCCTCCCTATCCTCCGCCTCCCCCCCCTAAGCCGGTTTACCCGGTTCACGGTCGGGACAACCGCCGGGAAATCGAGCCGGCGATATTGTTTTACACGCGCGCTGTCCGCGACAGTGCGGACGGGCGTAGCGTGCTCGACGTCGAAAACGTACACGGCGTTTTCCCGTTTTTTTTTTTTTTTTTTCTTTCTCTCGTTCTCGTTCACGCGAAAATCCATACGCTTGTCTCTCTGGACCCGGTGTGTCGTCCCTCCGTTTTCGCCTAGGCCGCCGCCGCGACCACCTCGAATCCGCCCCTCTTCCAGCCGCCTCCACCGCCTCGTCCCCTCACCCGGTGCCGCCGTCATCGGCCGCGGCGTCCCGAACGTATTGTGTGTTGTGCACGTCGACGTGTGCGCGCGCGTCGTGTACCAGACGGCACGTCGCGTGCGCCGCCGAGCGAAATTTGATTGGATTTTGATTTTTTTTTTTTTTTTTTTTTTTTTTTTTTTTTTTTTTTTTTTTTGTCCGTTCGCTCCGTCGTAATTCCCCGAGATTCCCCGGGAATCCGCGAGTACCCGAGGTCGCCGGGCACGATCACCGCCGGCGGTGCACGCGCCCAACACCAGGCCGTCGCCCCGTAACAATAACACCGTCCCGGTCACACTACTCTCATTATCGTTTGTCATTATCATCGCCCGACCGAACAACAATAACACTGGTACCGCTGTCGGTTAGGTAATATGGCGAGTTTCGGCAACAACGGCGGCCGACCCGACGTCGCAACGCGATGATACCGTGCGCTGTTGCACCGCAATGTCCGTAGGCAAAACGCGGTGTACAGAACGCGAACGCCGTTAAATTGCATACACGCGGCGCCGTATAAAATACCGTAATAATACACGCGGGCCGAGCCGGCGACCGTAAACATACCGGTGTCGGGAAAAAGTGTCGTTTTAAAAAGGGCGGTCGTTCCCGTCACCCACGTTCCTGCGTTCCAGTGCCGCGAAAAAAAAAGAAATAAAGTCCCCGGGGACGGGTGCAGCTTCTGCCGTAGGCGGAAACATTAGATTTTATCGATTAAACAAAAACGGGGGGAAAAAAAATGATTACGCTGACGTTTTGGTTTGTTTGAGGGCTAATGTTTCTGACAAAGCATCACTTAGCGCGTCAACTGCGGCATAGGTTGAATTGAGCGACTGCGCGGAACTTCTATTGCGTCTTTATAACGACAATCGTTATCAGTATTATAGAAATAGTCGGAATTTCAATCGATGACGGATTTTAAACACAAATGACTGGCTACAGACTGGTATTATTGGGAGAGCTAGGCAAATAATGACGAGTTGTCGACGCCCGTCGCAGAGAACGAACACGTTTTGTATTTAACTATTGCCTTTTTACGGTGACGACACGAAATCCCGAGGTATGATACCAATATTAAACGATTTCTAAACAATATTATCACTAAAATAACGCGAGTTTCAATTTTTTTTTTTTTTTTGGTTTTTTTCTAATAAAAGCAGCCGAAATTTGCGTTCACGCTCCGCACAAATAGGAACGTTTTCGCGTTCATCGTTCCTATATTCGAAAAGGAACGCGTTCATTGCCGCTGTAAAATACTAAAACGGAACGGATAAGACCATGTAAGCCGGTGCGAGTTGTGCCGTAAAGAAAACGGGCCTGTAAAAGGGGCCTAATATTCCCCTCCCTCCCGACCACAGCAAAAAAACAGACGGCGAACGTGTGCGAAATACCATTGCATTAAAACTCATAATACGGTTTATTCCCGATAACATCATCGTACAGAAAGATTTACTCAACCGGGCACACTCCATAATCCCGGATTTTTTTTTTTATCGCCTTTATTTTCGAGAGCGAAACTACCGCCTACGTTTAATTTTCAAATGAAAACCTATACTAAAAATACCTTAAATACAAACGTTTATTGTAACTATTACTGTTCCATCCATTTATGGCATTTTTAATATAAGCTACCGTATGGAAATCGACAGTAGGTCCACCCCCGAAAATAAAATTTTGAAGCTCCTTGTTCATTAAATGTACTATAAAACAAATTCCGGGGGGGAAAAAAATGATCCGATATCTGTTTATAATACATTTTTAAATCAATAAAAATAATTGATCGAATTTTAAAAGTTCATTTTCATCACTATTACGTTAAACTCGAGGCAGCGGTAAGTATAATATAACAGTAAGTGATTGCCGGTTGATTTGATTCAATTGGTTGACAATTTTTATACCTTATAGAGTTGGCGTTATAGAATTTAATTAAATAAATCCCGGAATGAATAAATTTCACCCACTGGCTACGGGATGTGTCACCAGAACAGGATAGGACACGTGGCCAGTGGAGTGCGTAGAGGGAAGGAGGAAATGGGTCATACCCGTCTCCGTGTTAGTTTTTCAGTACTAAAACAATGAGTATTTACTCAGTAATCTTGACATTTTTATGTGTCAGTCAAATTACAAAGAAGCGCTTAAATTAGTGATTAAAATGATTGTTTTTTCCGGCTATTAAATTCGTTTTATCGAGTCGGATAAAGTAAACGATTCTACGATATATTTATGGTTGATATTTGTCACATCACCTATCGTTAAAAATTTACTTAAAAGTGACAAAATGTACAAATGTAAATATCGATTTAAAATTATATATTATACGATGTAAATTCAATAATATTCGGGAATATATTTAAAATATATTCAATAACAATTATGATCCCTAGGGTTCGGTTTTTTTTTAAAAAAAAAAAACACCGCCTAAATTACTATAAACCAAACACCGATCGTGTTTATTAGGTGTACAATAGACGGTAGAAATAAAAAAAGCGACGCTGATCTCAATAGGTAACAGATTCTTTACGGAGTTAAATTATTTACTCAAAATTAGGAACGATAATGCGTAGGTATATATCATAATAAAAATTGTATACGCAACCACGTTATATTGTACATTTTTATAACGATTAGTGTCAATTACAACCAAAGAATATAACAAAACCACTCGAACCACTGAATACACTATAATCAATCTACATACATATAGATATTTATACGTTACGTTATGGTAAAACGATTGAACATCTGGCATTTAATGTTTTCTTCAATAATATTCGTTTAATATTGTACCTATTTTCCCGTTTATCGGAGAAACTTTTCGGGGGAATCAAAGAAACGACTTTTCCGCAAGTACTTCCTCCGTCCGATTTAATTTTGGAAAAACTGCTACGCTTGAAAATCTGATCGAAATTTCCGGTAGAAGAGTGATTCACGGATAAACGAATTTGACATCATTGTAAAACCAATACGGCTCGCTACGCTCAGGGTCTGAAATTGTCAAGTCCACAATTAATTCAATACATTTTTTTTTTTGACATTGGCTCTTCTCGCACCAATCCACAGAAATATGTACGAACCCGAGCAATTATACAATTGCTGAATTGATTACCTAGAGGCGGATGTTTTACATTTTACGTAGGTATGTAAAATAAAAAGATTACTTCTTTTCATTACCAATCGTAAAGTTAACCGATAAATATGCGCACTGGATACGGTAAAGGGGATGTTTATGGTCAAATTTATCGCGGAATTCAACTCCTAAAGGGTGGTTTAAACTTGATTCGAGAATTGGAAAAATAAATAGTGATGTTTACGTATTCTGCGTACTTTTTTTTTTTTTTGTTTTTCATTTTTGGATTACCTTGGTGACGCACATAAAAAAAAAA